TGGCAGATGACTTCAGACTAGATGCGTTCTACTAAGTCTCCGTGACAACAAGACAAAATTTCGACAACAAGGTCAACTTACTTCTATAACTGGAAAGAGGACTATGACCATACCAGAGGCCACAACATCTTGGTCTTCATATTTGGGACTGATTCTTGAGTTTTCCACAATCGGTTGAGTGGACTTCAGGATGCTTTTGGATTTCTCAAAGCCTTGCCTCCAAAAAAGCAATCTCTTCTTGGCTGGAGTGAACTCCGTTTTGCTCTCTTTTCGCCTCCTCATCAGCCTCCCCAACTTGATTTGATTTCGATACCCAAATCACATTTTTATATTGTTATTTTCAAGTAGTCAAAGGTTCATTTGCAATTTTGCTCGATGACGTTACTTATTTTGGATGTAAGTAGTTTTTAATATTATCAGTGAATCTCGAATTAAAACTTGGCTATCTTCACATCGAAGAAATATCGTTTACCTAATCAATCATCCCACCATGAAATGTAGTTTGGGTATTGTTATTGAATCCTGTTGGTGTGCTGTTGGTACGGTGAGGCGAGATCAAAACTGCCGCCTACTCAAGTCAAGCTAAGATTGCTTTTTGGAAGGCAATAAGTGACAATCCATGGCATTATCATGCCTACTCATCTAATTTTGGGGAAACTTAATTATTAGTTCCTAAATCACCTAGAGCGACCTAGGGTGACCAAGTGCTTATTCCAACTTTATACATATTTTCAAAAGTTGCTCAGAAACTCAAAGCATTTTTTATATTCGTCCCTCATTATGTCATTATCTCATTTCTGTCCCACTAAACCTTCTCAAGGAGGTGTTGCACGATCGTGTAGCCATGAAGTTGGACGAATCACCAAGTTTTCCATCTCCACTGAGAAGAGAGCCAGCCTCGAGCTTAAGAGGCGATCACGGCTCCAGTAGCAACGACGACGTTCGAGACGCTTTGGCTGAGGTCAAGTCGACTTGTTCACTTTTAGCCGAGTCACACCCCAGCCGAATGTCCGACGTCAGTGTAGGCGATCGAGTTCGGTCTTTATGGAATCTGGAAGACCACGCCACTGAGAGGCAGGGAAGTTGGCGGCGCAATGTGGGTGAAGAGACCCGACTGAAAAGACCCAACATGCCTGACTTCGGGATAGAACTGCATTGCGAGTCACCAACTATCGAGGAGGGAGAGGAGAGAGCAAATTGCATGAAAAAGACCGACATAAGTCATGTGGTTTTATTTGGCGATGAGGCCAATCTACTGCTGACTTTAGAGTCAGCCAAGGCAACTGAGGCAAGGAGAAACCACTTCATTCTGACCGGTCAGACGTGGATGCTGATTCAAGAAAGGGCACCTCACATTCTGCCTTCGGTGAGAACAAAGAAAATTGGTGAAATCTTTCTGCTGTTTCATGTTATGTGTGGAAAGAATTTGTTACGAAACTTCCAGAAGCTCTAGAAATAAGACGTAAATCAACCTGGGCCTGTAAAATTATGTAAAAACTTATATTCACGTAAAGTAAGCTTCAAAATTACCAATAAATCTTGGATAATAGGTCCAGATAGCCTAGGTCGTATACGGTAATCACGGACTGATTAAATGAAATTGCCTCAGGATTTATTTGCATCTTTTCATACTCTTACTTACCAAAATGTATTATCATACACGGTGGATTGTAGTTTCGATCTTGCCTGGATTTCATCAGAGTCACTTGGGATAATCCAACCGGGGCAAACTACGATTACAATCAACTATGTTTCTTATATTAAGATAAAGTAGGTTTTTAAGTCTATCGGTAGCACTTGAGTAAAGGTTCTAGTCCCTCTGGGTAGCATAAGGTGATGAAGAACTGCTGACAAGACCTAGACAAGGTCGAGACTGCAGTCCAGGCTGGATGAGAATACCTTTTGGCAAGCAAGAGTAATGTAAAATTGACTGTAAAATTGAGGCCTATTCATATCATTGTGGGAAAATGTGACTATCAGCCTTTCAATAAATTATGCGAACCAAGGTTACTGGAAATCTATTAATGACTCATAATTTAATTTCTCAAAATAAAATTAGTAAGTCTCATGATGTCAATTAATTTTACTTAGATTCTTTTCTTTAATACGTAGCCTTTCGAGACTACCATTAGGGCATATAAATGTGAGATACATTCACCCTATTTCGTTTAAGGTAATAAAGGATTGGTCATTGAATTTTCTCACATTAATATAAATAGGTCCTATGTTTTTATTGAATTTCTCATAGCCCTGATTTTCTAAAAGGTATTCTCATCCAGGCTGGACTGCAGTTTCAACTGTCATGAGTGCCCTTGAGTAACAAGTCAGATGTGATTTTCTAATATCGCATTCATTAGAATTGTGTCGATTAAACAAGGTTTAATTTGCTATAGCAATCAACTAAATTATTTATTTATCGTTCATAAGTAGGCTTTTGGGACTAACAGTAGATCAGAGTAGTAGATATGAGCAAGGTTGTGTGAAATTCAATGGAAACATAAAGCCAACCCATATCATTTTAAGAAAATTCAACTACCAGCTATTTCTCATCATCAAAGAAATAAGGTGTATATATTTCATCTATTTATCTTTGGCTCCAAAAGGGTCTCCTCGACTATCATATTTAT